TTTCACGAAAGGTTCTGGGAGGGAGCATTTGAGGCGGGGGCGTTGCAAGCAGCCCAGGGTTCCCTCCGTCACCCCCGTGCAGACAAGTGACCTCAAGCCCTGCTCAAGAGAGAAAAAGAGCGACATGGAGCCTGTGGCTGGCATGCCAGCCCTGGCCTGGACACCCAGGGCGGTCACAGCACCCATCCCCAGAGTGCACGCATGCGCTCTTCTCTCGATCTCGCCTGCACTCGCTGCTTTGTTGTGGTCTTATCCTTGCCATGGAAACTGTTTCTCTTTTTCTATGTATCCATTTTATTTTGCTTCAGGGCCACACCGGGTGGTGCTCAGGGCTCAACTCCTGGGTCTGCACTCAGGGACCCACTCTGGGTGCTGTTGATGGCACTTGGGTTAGCTGCGCATGAGGCAAGTGTCCAACCCGCTGTCCTATGGCTCAGGTGCCTCTCTTTGTCCCTTTGTTCGTTTGGGGGGGGGTATCATAATTCTGGGAGTCCCGAAGGCTACTGGGGCTGGGGCCGAGGCCTCGGACCCAAAGCTCTGCCCTTCAGAACCCAGAGGCTGTCCTGCCCAACGTCACTCACCGCCCCCCCCCCCCCCCAAACAGCTTCTTCTTCGGGAGAATTCGAAGATAGGAAAGACTTTGGGGCAGAGGTGAGAAAAAACGCATATCCCCAGGAAGGCCTGACCCAGTGAGCTGTGGGCCGCGCCCACCCAGGCCGCTCTCAGAGCCAGGCTTCAACGGGACCCTGTTCTTTGTGGCTGAAAGGAGTCGAATCCAAGGCAGAGGAGATGTGTAGCGAGCATTGCACGGAGGGAGTGGGGTGGGAGCAGAACAGAAGAGTGACCCTACCGTAGCCTTGGGGTGGGGGGCTGCTCGGATTTCCAGCGCCCCTCCCCTCTGAGCTCTCAGGAGCAAACCTAAGTTCTGTAAACAGGAGAAACCGAGGAAGAATACTTTTGAGTGACCGGTCAAGCCCGGGCCTCGACCTCGAACCCTGTGCCTGACACCCTGTGGACACGAACCCCTGTGCCCCTCCCGGGGAGTCAAGGGGAGGAGCAGGGTAGGGCTATGGGCATCGGGAGGCAGACATGAAGAGGAACAGAAGGAGGGTCTGCCTCCCTGGACCACCTGAATGGGTCAAGCAGTCACAGGGCTAGAACTGGACACAGTGCCCAGGGCCTGGTGCATGCAAGGCCCCAAAGCCGACCCCTGGAACCACAAGGCCGCTCCAGCACCGCCAAAGTGGCCACTGAACAATGCTACGCTGACCAGCCTGACTGGCCGTGTCCCTGGGGGTGACCCCCTGGCCACCTGAGCTTTGCTTAGGGTCCCCTCCTTTTCTCTTCCTCCCTACACGAAGACAGGCTGAGCATAAAGCTCCCCGAGTAGCCAGGGGCCCAAGGCTACAGCAGGCCCCGGCAAGATTCTCCATCTGCCCCCGACAACTTCCTCCAGGGGCTGATTCCTCCTGGCCACCTTCTATGCCTAAGGAAGCGCAGACGGGGCCCTGGTGGGCACAGCCACTCTCGGGCAGTGCCTTCCTCTCTTCTCCAGCACTCTGCTCACTCCCTCCGTGCTCTGGGACACGGGCAGAGGCCATAGAAAGAAGGATCCTGGCGGGAATTTCCAGGACCCGGCCGGGCTCTGCCTTCCTGAGCGGCCCCGATAGCCCCGAGGAGGAACTGCCCAGCGCCCAGCGCCCGAGCGATCGAGCGAGCGAGCGGGCAGAGCCGGCCTGGCCCCGCCGGGCGTGGGGGAGGGGGCGCGCGGCGGCAGGCGGCCGGCCGGCGCCGCGACCTAGGTGGCGCTGTTTCTCTACTTTTTAAGCCGGGCGGCGCAGGGACTTCCTCGAGGTCCCCGCTCCTGCTCCTGGTTTGCTGGCTGGCTCGGGGAAAACCACCTTATATTATTTTTTTTTCTAAAAATACTCCAAAGCAATTGAAAGAGTCCCTTCTCCCACCAGCCAGCCCTGGCCCCAGCCCCGGCCCCGGGGAGCGGGCGGGCAGGCGGGAGGGGTGGGCCACGGCTTTATTAAACACAGGGAAAACTAATATTTACGGAATAAAATTTATGGAGCAGCCACGAGAATTCGACCCTTTTATGTGCATGGGGCAGTGGGGGGGGCTGGGCCAGGCTGGGGGCCTGGGGAGGGGCCGGGCCAGGGGGCAGGGCGGGGATGCAGCCCGGCCAGGCCAATTTGTCAAGCCAGGGGTTTCCCTGGAGTTGCCCTGATGAAAGCTTCTCACTCACCGCCTCGGGCTTTGGGGGCTGGGGGGTTCGGGGGTGGGGTGTGGGTCAGGGATTTAGGGACCGAGGCAGGGCACTGAGGGCTGCTTCTCAGGATGCTTCAGGGGTGTCCCCAAGGAGGGGGGTAACCTTCCTGGGAGTAAAAGGGGTGGAGGGTGAGGGCATTAGGCAAACAGAACTCTGCTTTCCCTTTTCTGACATTTGGGCCATACCCCGTGGTGCTCAGAACTTACTCCTGGCCTCTGCACTCTGGGATCACTCCAGGGGTATCCCTGAGATCACCCCTGGGATGAACCCAGGGATCACTCCTGGGATCATCCCAGAGATCACCCCAGAATCACTCTAGGGATCACTCCAGGATCACTTGAGATCACCCCTGGGATCACTCCTGGGATCACCCGGGGGATCACTCCAGAGACCACCCCAGGAATCACTCCAGGGATCACCCTGGGATCACCCTGGGGATCACTCCAGGGATCACTCCTGCCAGGGATCGAACCCAGGTCAGTTGTGTACAAGGCAAGCGCCTTAACAGCTGTGCCATTGCTCCGGCACAGGCAAACTCTGGCTTAACCTTCCCATAAAGCAACCTATCAGCCAGAGAGATGGTCACAGTGGGTAGGGCTCTTGCCTTCACCTGTGGCCGAGGCGGGTCCTGTCTCCGGGACCCCACTGAGTCCCCGGAGCCCCATCAGGAGTGATGCCTGAGCCCCTCTGAGGCAGAGACAGCACCATTCCCTTGCACTGCATGGCTCCCAGAGTCCCTGGGCACTGCTGGGAGTAACTCCTGAGCATCTCCAGGTGGGGCCCCCAAACCAAAACAAACCCCCAAAGGCACTTTCTCTTGAAACCATGATAAAAGTGGTGCCTATGGGATTTTAACCCTCATCCCAGGAGAACTCTCAAGCCCTCAATTCCTCTCCCTGCCGCCAGCCCCCAGGCTGGAGAGGGTAGCAGAGGTGTTCTCCAGGCCGAGGGGCTGTGCTTTCTCCTATCTTGCCCTGGGTCCTTCCTTTCTGGGGGTGCCCTCTGACTTGGGAGCCGCTGGGCGACTTGGGTCACCCAAGTCCCCACCTTGATGAGCTGTTCACTGGGCGTCCCAGTGGCCACTATGGCGGGGGTGCCCTGTGGGTGGAGAGAGGGTGAGTGAAAACCCCTCCCAGAGGAGGCTGACTCAGTCCCGGAGGACCCCCAGGTCACGAAGCTGGAGAGACAGCGCCAGGGGATAGAGCACTCACTGGGCAGGTGGTCAATCCAGGTTCAATCCCTGACACCGCACAGGGTCCGTGAGCCTCACCTGACGTGATCTCTGAGCACAGAGACAGAGATAGCACCTGAGCACTGCTGAGTATGGCCCCCAAGTCTCCATACCTCGCCCTCCCCCACCAAAATAAAATCTAATAATTCAGAAAAGAACTCAGCACTCTGCTCTCCCCTCCTGACTGCTAGGCTCATGGCCTTCGCTAAGTCCCTTTGTCACTTCAGGATGCCTCTTCCGCCTGGCTTATCTGCCAAAGTCAAGTTCGCTGTCTACTCCAGGGGTTCTTTCTTGGATTCACTGGGGGGGGGGGCGCCACTCCCACGGCCACACAGGGATAAAGCCCAGGGTCTTGGCACAGGCTGGGCATGGCCTGCCGAGTCCCCAGTCAGCACCTGTGGTTCTTACAACCATTAAACACCTTGATGCTAATCCTCACTGTTTCCCTGCTCCCCAGGAGAGGAGGGGACAGACCCCCCCACAACCAGGGGAATTAGGGCCAGAGGTGCTACACCCTTATAATGCTCTAAATATGGGGAGGTTCTGCCTCAGCCCTCTGTCTCCTACCCACACCTGCCCCCCAAGAACACCTGGATTCTCCTTTCCTTCCCATCTCTCTGGGGGAAACCTACAGGGGACCTTACTCACCTAGCAGAGACGGCAGGGGAAACTTGGCGGGTCCTGGTCCACTAGCTGCGGTTTGGCTGGTCGGAAGCTGACTTTCTGGGGCTTTCGGGGGGCCCCCTTACCTTTCGCCTACCCCGCACTCTGCCCTGACCCTCTGTGCAGGCCCTCTGGTTCTGGGGAATTCCTGGAGCCACTTCCTGTTCTAAGGGCCCTGCCTCCTTCCCATCATTCTGCTATTTGAAATAGAGCAAAGGATGGAGGAAAAGTAAAGTTCCTTTTTTTTTCTTCCTTGTTGGGTGGGAAAGTCCCTGAGAGCCAGAAACTTGGAGCCCCCTCATAATTCCAGTCACATCTTTTTTTTTGCCTTTAGGTTTTTGGACCACCCCCAAAGGTCGGGCTTCCTTCAGGCTCTGTGCTCAGGACTTATTCCTGGCGATGCTCAGGAGACCATATGGGATACTGATGTTTGAACCCAGCATCCGCATGCAAGACAAACTCCCTATCTGCTGTACTATCACTCTGGCCCCCTCCGATTGATTGCATCTTTGGTGGAAGGAAAGAGAAAAATGAGCAAATCCATGCCTGGAGGGGAGCAGTGGCCCAGTGTGGACGGGCCAGGCGGAACGCTGTTGGGGGGGGGGGGGTCTCAGTTCCTGGGGTGTAATCTGCTGCGGGGTAGGGGGAGAAGCCGGAGAAGGGGTGCCAACATGGGACCGGGGGTCTCCTGGGCCTCTGGAGGGCCCAGCAGGGTGGGAGTCGGCACAATAAAGCTGGCAGGGTGGGTGCCTTGGACCAAATGATGTCTACAGCAAGAGGGTGTGTGCGCTTTTTATTCCCCGTGAAAGAGGGGTCTGGGGCTGGGGGCGGGGTGCTGTGGCAAGGGCTTAGGACCCCACAGACGCGCTCCAGGCTGGCGCTGCCCTTCGGCTGGCCTGGCCGGTGTGTCCAGCGCCCATGGGTGGGTCCCTGGGTCTGGAAAAACTACTGGCCTCCGCCACCTGAAAGAGAGGCACCGTGGGGACCACTGCAGACCGGCTGCCCGCCTGTGTCTCCATGCTGGCACCTCGAAGCTCCTTCCTGAGATGCAGGGGGATGGTCTGTCCCCTGGCTTGGCCTTGGCCGCCGAGACGGGACGCACTAACTGAAGAGTCCCCGGAGTTTCTTCCTCTTGGCCTTTGACAGCTGAGGTCTCTGCGTTCCCTGGGAGAATGAGGGAACCACGTTAGTGGGGTGGGCAGCCCCAGCTCAGTCAGGCGGGGGTTCCTCCCCTCCACGACTGGCCCCCTGGACGGTCTGCGGTGGAGGTGGTGGTGGCAGGCAGGGGAGGAGGAGGAACTTTTCCACCTGGTCTGGAAGCTGGGCACAGGCCAGCTCTCAACACTGAGTGGGCAGCCCCCACAAGGTGGCAACTGGCGGGGGTGGGGGTGGGGGGATGTCTAGTTGCGGGACCCCGACCATTCCCACTCCCGAAAGTCCCCAACTCACCGTGGGCTCCTCCCCGAGGGTGGGGGGCAGTGTGGGTGTGCAGTCTGGCTCTTCGGGGGGCTTCGGAAGTTCACTGTCGGTTCCTGGCCAGGAGGGGCTGCCAGGAGTAGCTCCTGAAAACAGAAAGGTTGGGGGAACGCGGTGATGGGGGGGTGTGTCTCTGCTCACCAGCACACTCGCATGCAGGGGGTCACCACTCTCTAGCATGTTCCTCCGCCCCAGGAAAGGCCCGAAGGCTGGACACCCGCCCTGGACAGTTGCCCTGAGGCAGATCAGATTCTCCAGCTCACTCGCTTCAGCGTTTCACGTGATTTAGAGGGAACTGCTGGGAAGATGGAAAGTTCTAGAGCCTCACAGGCTCACCTGGCAGACACATGGGAGTTGAGGGACTCTTGGTATAGGGCTAAGGACAAGGACTGGTTTTCTTTCCTTTTATTCGGGGGAGGGGGTACTCCCACACTCCCAGTGATACTCAGGGGTCACGCCTGACTCAGCACTCGGGAACCATTCCTGCAGCGCAGGGGACCAAACCCGCATCCATGGCAAGTGCCTGACTTATTTTCAGTTACTCCCAGACCATGAGAAACACAAACTGAGACCCCCCTGCCCAATTCCAGCCTCCTCCCTCCGGGTCCCTGACCCGGTGCTGGGAAGTCACTCACCTGGGTCTTCGGGCTTCAGCATCCCCTGGACCTCTCGCTGGGCGACCGCCACATACAGGCCCTGCAGGTTCTCCACGAAGGGTCTTCCGTCCCCAATGCTGCAGACCTCTGGGAGCTTCTGTAGGGAAGAGCAGCCAGGGACGTCAGTCAGGCTGAACCCTCAGAGAAAGGGTTGGCAGCACTGGCATAGAACTCAGGACGGTTTCGAGAAGCTGCAGCCGAGAGAAAGCCAGCAGCAAGGATGCCGCAGAGGAGTCCCTGAAAGGCAGCAGGACCCAGCCCCCAAGTTGTCCCTAAACACTCGGCTCTGCACTCATAGACCCCGCACGCGTCTCCTTCTTCCAAAGGGGTGCCAATGTGGCCCTGAGCTGCACTGATGACGATTTTCATTACAGTTATTCCTGACAGGGGTGGGGACCAGGTCACAATCTGAGGGGCATGAAGCTGCCCTCCCCGAAGGGCCACGCACCTGGACACCAAAGATTGGTCAATGAAGAAAAGAGGTGAGGGGCCGGAGTACAGCATAGCTGGGAGGGTGCCTGTTCTGCACGTGACCAACTGGGTTCCATCGCTGGCATCCCATATGGTCCCCTGAGCACCACCAGGAGTGATTCGTGAGCACAGAGCCAGGAGCAAACTCTGAATATTGCTGGTGTGGCTCCCCACATCCCAAAAAAAGTAAAAGAGGAGAGGCTGAGAGGCACTACAGCAGCTTTTGCCTTGCACACAGCTGACCTGGGTTTGATCCCCAGGTCAGCTGTGTGCAAGGGACCCCTGAACCCTGTCAGGAGTGATCCCTGAGCACAGAGCCAGGAGTCAGTGCGGAGGGCATTTGCCTTGCATATGGTTGACTGGGGTTCGATCTCCGGCATCCTATATGGTCCCCCAAGCACTGCCAGGAGTAATTCCTGAGTGCAGAGCCAGGAGTAAACCCTGAGCATCGCCTGACCTTGGAACCCCATATGGTCCCCTGAACCCTCCCAGGTGTGATTTCTGAGCTAAGAGTAAGTGCTGAGCACTGCTGACTATGACCCAAAAAGCCAAAAAAAAAAAAAATAGAAATAGAAGTTGTGACTTTGAGGATGCAGGGGTGGGCAGGGTGTTCTGCCAAACTGACCTGGGCTCTGAGGACCCACTCACGACTGCCCGAACATGCGGTGGCTTTTCAACCACCACCAGCACTGTGGGTCTCTCCTGACTCCAATGTGTTGGGACTTTGGCCTCTGCTCTCCAGCGGTCAGGTCAGAAGCTTTAGGAAAACGGAAGTGACTGAAACTTCTAGGCTTGGCTTCCCTACTGCCTCCCAACCCCGTTCCACGGGGGTGACACTCCCCTCTCTGTGGGTGACACCAGCTCCCGTGGGCTGAGGGCTCTGCCCCAGGCAATACGTGCCCCTCCAAGAACCTCCGAGAGCGATCCCTGAACACTGAGCAGGGAGTAACCCCAAGCATCACTGGGTGTGACCCCGAAACAACAGCAACCCTCCAAAACAGACCAAACAAACAAAACCCCTCACTCAAATGGTCCAGACGGGCTTCTGCTCCCCGATCCAGATGGTACCCTGATAGTCTGCTCTCCACTGCTGAGCCCAGAGACAGAGGCCACAGACTGGACAGACCCAGAGAGACATCCCAAAGCCTCCCAAACTTTCCCTCTTTTGTTCTGGTACCCAGCTTCGGAGCATCCCCAAAGCCCTGACATGAACTGTTACACCATCATCCAGGCATCTTCATCATTAGCCCCTCACCCCCTCCGCCCCCCACCCCCGGGGGTTAAGAGCACATCAGAAAACTTTTATCAAGGCCACAAACTGCCAAAGTGTTATCAAAATTAATAGAAACAACAAAATAAAGTGGCTTAGGAAGGAAACTCCAAGGAGAAAGGCTTCACCTAGACCCCATCCCAAAAATGTTGAACATTTCTGACTGACTGCAGACAGTGACACAGATGTTTTAGATGCTGGGGATCTAGTGCACTGAACCCAGGAAATTAGAGCCAATCCCCTCTTCTCTTCTAGACTGGGGAGAACCAGCTCTGGTATAAGACCCTCAGGACCAGAGAGACAGTTGGGCAGACTCAGGGCTGGCTTGGCATGCAGAAGACCCAGTTCCCCCTCCAGCACCACATTGTCCCCCAAGAAACCACCAAATGTGAGCAAACCCTGAGCACAGAGCTGGGAGTAGTCCTGAGCATTGCTGGGCATGGATAAAAAAATAGAGATTATAAAAAATTTCTGAGAGCCGGCAAGAGCACTGTGGAAGAGTGGTGAGTACACGCATCAGAAGTCTGGGGAGGGAGGTCGTGATGTTTCCTTTTTCAGGGGATCACACCTAGTGTTCATCAAGGGATACTTCAAACTCAGTGCTCAGGGGACTTAGCGATGCCAGGGATGGAACCTGGGGTTCCCGTATGCAGGTTCCCATATGGGCTGCACTCCGGTCCTTTGAGGCATCTCTTCAGTACTTAAACTGCTATTTTATCTTTTCTTTTCTTGTCATTTATTTATTATTTTTTTTATTTATTTATTTTTTTGCTTTTTGGGTCACACCTGGTGGTGCACAGGGATTACTCCTGGCTCATGCACTCAGGAATTACTCCTGGTGGTACTTAGAGAACCACATGGGATGCTGGGAGTTGAACCTGTGTTGGCCATGTGCAAGACAAATGCCCTGCCCACTGTGCTATTGCTCCAGCCCCTATTTTATCTTTTCAATTATTTTTCCCTAGTTTTTTTGGGTTACATACAGCACTATGCAGGGTTTACTCCTAACTCTGCACTCAGGGATTACTCCTGGTGGGGTTTGGGGTGCTGGGACTTAAGCCTGGATCGGCTGCATGCAAGGCAAGCACCCTACCCGCTGACTGCTGGATTATGACTCAGGCCCTGCAATTTTCAACGGAGAATTGAGAGGGTGATGTTTCTTCTGCAAGAATGGAACTGAGTGACGGGGATCCAGGCGGACGATGGGGTGAGCTCCGGGCTGCTTGTTGGTGTTTGATAACACGGCTTCCCCCTTTCTCTTACAAGCATTCCAATTTGGGGAACTGGAGCGCCAGTACAGCAGGTAGGGCACTTGCCCTGCATGCAGCCACCCTTGGTTTGCTCCCTGGCATCCCATATGGTCCCCAAGCACTGCCAGGAGTGATTCCTGAGTGCAGAGTCAGGAGAAAAAGCCCTGAACACAGTTGAGTGTGGACCCACAAAACAAACAAACAAACAAACAAAAAGACTCCCAACTTGGGTGTTCAAATCTATGATGGCGTACATCCCTTACAAAGAAGGGATGGTACGTAGCCCTGAGTCTGTGGGTCTATTCGAAACTGTGAAGTGATGTTGTAAGACAGGAGGCCACGGACACCGAGAAAGAACGACATGGTCCAGTTTACTATTCAGACTCCCCAGAGCCACCCGGATGCTGTCTGGTAGTGCTGGGGGAAGGCTTGAATTCGGGGTATCCCTGGGGGAGGCATGTACTGCACCCCTTTGAGTGACCACCCAGGCCCTTGACTTCTGATATTTAGAGGGGGCCTTCCAGGTGGTACTTAGGGGGCCCCGAGGCCTCTCCTGGCAATTCTCGGGCAGCCAGGCTGGCAGTTCAGTGTCAAGGTGGGAAGAGGAGGTGCTGCTTTGGTGATGTGGGCAGGCAGTGCTCAGGGACCATGTCGTGTCGTGCAGCATCCGGCACTGAACAGTGCTGGCCCTCTGCAGAACACACGCCTTAGTCCGGGACTATCTCCAACACCGGATTTATTCTTTTTTTTTTTTTTTTTGCGGGTGTCGAACTACAGCTGAATCTTATGAAGACAATGTTTATGAGAAACAGCCTCGTTCCTGATGCCCCATTCGCTCTCAACGGAACGACCATCTCCGAATGCAACACCTGTGTACCTAGGTCTAGAAGTCAACATGACAAATGACCTGGCACCCGAGCTGCGCAGGAGGAAGAGAGCGGCTTGGAACGCCTTCAAGAGCGTCGAAGAAATAGCTAAGAGGACGAAGAACCTCCAGCTCCGGGCACATCTCTTTGATTCCACTGTTCTTCCTGCATTAACATATGCCTCAGAGACCTGGGCCCTACGCAAACAGGATGAGAACGCTATTCAGGTCTCCCAAAGAAGAATAGAAAGAGCTATGCTTGGAATATCACGTTTCACTCAAATGAGAGAAAGAATCCGGAATTCTGACATCCATCGATGATCAAGAATCAGGGACACTGTCTCATTTGCCAAGGTGTCAAAAATAAGATGGGCTGGTCACGTAATGAGATTTAAAGACGACCGCTGGACTAGAGCTGTTACCGACTGGATTCCACGGGATGTCAAAAGACCGCATGGCCGCCCACCTACCAGATGGTCAGACTTCTTCGTCAAGATCATGAACGATCGGTTTGAGGCCCTTCATGTTCCCGGAGCGAACAGATGCCATTGGGCTACACTAGCACACGACAGGGACAAATGGAGACGTTACTGGCGCCCACTCGAGCAAATCGACGACTAACGGGAAGTTAAGTGATTAAGTGAAGTGATTTTGCGGGTGTTGGTGGTGGTTTGGGCATACCCGGGTGAGCTCAGGGGCCATGCCTGGCAGTGCTCAGGGGACTGAGTGTGGTGCCAGGGTTCCAACTCACTCTAATGCCAAGGCGAGCACCTTAACTCCCAGACTATCTCTCTGGCCCCGGATTTCCAGTTTCTTTTGCTGCTGTGTTTTTGTTTTTCACTGCCACACCTGGCAGTACTCAGGGCTTACTCTTCGCTCTATACTCAGGGATCACCCTTGGCGGGGATGGCGGGACCACGTGGGGTTCTGGGGATCAAACCTGGGTGGGCTGCGTGCAAGGCAAGCCCCGTTCCTACTGTGCTATCATCCCTCCAGCTCCCAATTTCCATTTTTTTTAAGTGACTCCTGTGATGCAAGTGAGGAGAAGGTCAGAGACGGCTCCAGTAACCAGGTGGGTGCCACCACGGCCAGGGGGCTGCAGCAGAGTCACTGAGGGGCTCAGGTTCTGGAGTTATTTGAATTTGAAGGTGTGAGCAACAGGACTGCTGCTGGAGGGTGTGCAGGGGATAAGGCAGGGGTGACCTCCCCAAAACCTAAATTAAAACCCCTAAGTCAACGAC